GTGACCATAAGATGATAGCAAAGTGTTACAATTTTATGAAGTTTGCTGCTGCTATCTAGTGGGCATCCAGATCTATGCAGCCTAAATCTGATTGTGAGGAAGAGTTTATCATTTTGAAGCTGAAAATTTGTCACTAGGAAGAGCACGCCCTCCAAGTGACAATTTTTTAAAAGGCTCATAAAACCGCCTGCCCTGTTAGTTAAAAAACATGCTGCTGGATTCCCTCCGATTTAGAAATAATTTTGAGTAAGGAGCAGTGGCTCAATTTATCTATCAATGTAACCTTGCTTAGCATAAATCTCAGCCACTGTGGAATATAAGCTATCATTTAAGGCTTAACATTACACGTGACATAGATCACTGGGGTTTGCCTAATCATAGTTAAATTTGACTGCAATACAGTCTGAAATCAACTAATGCTTTGAGGCTGAGCAGGAAGCTCAAAATACATTCCCAAAAAAGATAATGCAAGCTGTTTCCATATTATTGCCAATATACTATATGGACATGACAATGTGATTACCAGGATTGATCCCAGCTGATCACATTAAGTCATGATTGACTACAGTAGACTATCTTTAAATCAGATTGAGAAATTAAAGATTGATTTCTATAACCTTCCATCTACCATCCAAATGTTTCTTTTTAAATGCTTTGACTCAACAAAGCAGACTATAAAATACCTATTAAAAGTTCCATGAAAGTGCAGAATTCTATGTACTTAAGGGTTCCTTTATTAATATTTCCTCTTTGAGGATGTTTGCATATAACTTTCGTTATGTATGGGATGCAACAACTGTCCTATTCATGGAATTAATATTTCATTTTTTCATTAGAATTTTACGCTGTGGTATATTTAATTCCTTTAACTAGTTTGTGCTCTGCTGAAATTTGCTTCGTTGTTTGTTTTAAAGAATGATGGCATTGCCTTTTTAAATGGCACGATGCATTGTTAACTGCCAGACAAATGTAAAACATATTCCTCTTTTAAAATTTTATGGGGTATTAATAACACTGAGTTACAGTAGCATTAATTTTTAAGCTGAACTCCCCATTGATTTCAACAAGGAGTATTTAAAATCAGTAACTACTGTTTTGATGAGAGGAATGTTGTTCTCTTTTTTCCCTCCCTCAGGTCAACAGATCAAAAGATCAAATTTTGTCCTAACCCTAACTTCCACTGCATGAAGAACTGCCCAAATGTTAACTTTATGAACATACAACCAGGTCCAAAATTCTGAAATTTCTGCTAAAAAAAAAGGAACAGGCTTTACTCCATTATTTTATTATCTTTAGAATCAGTGTTAATATTTAGTTCTATTCAACTGATTTTTAACTGGAGGCAGTTTGAGGACTTATGCTTTGATGAGGATTGCCTTCATTCTATGTTAATGAAACAAGTTATACTTATTTTTGTTCTTCTAGTCAATCATGTCTGATTCTCAGAGAGTGCCTGGACAAGTCCCTTCAGTTTCCTTGGCAAGTGGTTTGCCATTGTCTCTTTCCTAGGGCTGAGAGAAAACCACTGGCCAAGGTCACCCAGTTGGATTTGTGCCCAGGGGAATTCTAGAACTGGTTTCAAGCCTCATGCCTTAAGCAATACTCCAAACTGATTATTTACTCATTATTGATGATGTGGTTTAAATACTCAGTCCAAATTAATGGAATTGTTACATCAGGGTGAAGATATAAAGGAGAGTTTATAAGAGATGTCTCATATTGTGCAATAATAAAGCACTCTCTTCACATACAAGGAGGCTTAGATTTGATAAAGGTTTGCAAATATTCATTTTCGTGATCATCTGTAATGAATAAAAATGTATCAGGTGATCAGGCAGCTAAGTTTTACAGATTACTCCTTTGAGCCTCAGAAAACTACATGTGGATTGGCAAAACTAGTACTTTTTAAGGGTTTGTTCACAATTCTTACATAAAAACTATTGGATAAATAGGTCTAGATACTTTCTTTGAATTATCATAAACTGTGGATGGTAGGAATTATGTTGTACTATTCACAAGGAAGAAACAGAATGGTTTGAAGTGCTTTTGTGCCAGCAATGGTGTGAAAATGACCAATGTATGTCAAGGACATGATGCTCAACCACTTGTGAAGGGAGCTTTTCTACCTGTATTTTCTTGATATGAATAAAAAAGAACTATCTTCCATTGTCTTCCAACCAAGGTATGCCCACTGATTTGTCTGAGGCATGTCGTGCCAAGATTAGATGCCAGAGCCTTCCCAGTTCCAACAGGTCACTTGAGGCTGCCGTGGGCACACCTCCCCTCTGATTCCAGACCAATGATTTTCAAGGTTTTGGGCAGAAGCCTCAGGACTCTCAAGTCCAAAAGGCATCTCTCTTGATCTCTTGCCAACTTATGGGTAGGAGGAGTGGGAAAAGCAGGGTCTTCCACTGTCATTTCTCTGATCCGATTAGAACAGAGAAGTAGTAGAAAGGAAATTCTTCTTCATTTCTCTCCCCACTTTCATTGTCTTCCCACTGATGGGACAAAAAACTTTTTTTCATGGACTGGTAGGCAAAGGGTCCTTTCTCTATTTCCACTCCCCCCAGAGGAAGGGAACTGGAGGAAGAAGCAGCTCTTTAAGCAGAACCTGCTCATCCTCTCCAGTTTAGGAGCTGCAGCCCTTAAACCCCAGGGTGACCAATTTATATGGGTGTCCAGCTTTCCCAGAAGACTTGTGGGCAAGTAACAAGAACATCCCAGGTGGCTATGATGGAGTTGTCCAACTCCTCTAAGTGATGCTTTCCACATAGATCCAACTCCTTCACTCCATCAGGGAAAACGGAGGGAAACCGTTCCCACTTGGTTAATGGGAAAGGAGATTTTTCCCTCCTTCTTTTGCTGTGACTCAGAGAAACTGGTGGAGAGAAAAAAATGGTAACAATCTCTAAAGAGTCCCAAAGATACTTTTCCAGGAGGCAACTGGACTTTCTTGTTTTTTTCTTTGAAGACGTTTGGATGAGAAGCGAAACGTCTTCAAAGAAAAAAAAAACACCCAGAAAGTCCAGTTGCCTCCTGGAAAAGTACCTTTTCAGCTATGGCCTGGATGACTGAGAATCTCCATAAATCTCTAAAGAGGCTTCTTTGGGGCCAGTCTCCTGTTCCCATGAAGCGACCTCTCTGTGAAATCGGAGACTCAGGCACTTTTTAGCAGGCACTAAAAAGAAATGCTCCTCGCACTCCTGTGCGCAACGACACTCTCACATTCCGCTTCGCGGCAGAGGCGCGAAGAAAAAGGGGATGGAAACGCGCGCAGCGCTTCTTTGATTCGGCGTACGGGCGCTTTCCTGCCCTGTTGCCATGCCAAGAGCTCCCTCGCACCTCACCTGTAAAAACAAACAAACAAACCCTTCCCACGACACCGGAACGCCGCCGCGCACATTTTTGAGGGACAAAAACTCCCGGCTCATTTCAACAAGTCCGGCGTTGGAAGCCAAAGAAAAGGCTTCGCGCTCTTATTCCCGTTTATTGACCCATTCACAAGAAGTGAAAAACGGGCGGGGGGGGGGGCGCGGCGTTTCCGCACGTCGAGCTGCTCAAAACGGGTTAACCCCCCGCACACACACAAACACCCAGTGGGGCTGTAATGGGAACATCGCACCGCTTCCCCCACCTCCTCCAGCCGACTTTTAAGGCGGCTTGTGTTGAGCCGAAGTTGGGGGGGGGGGGGGCAGAAATTTCGAAGTCTACGTCTATTGCGAGTCCCACGTTGTGTTTTCCCCCCGAAGTGAGACGCTCCTGCCTAAGTCCCGCTATGCGTTCCTAGGAAGAAACAAGCCAATCGGGGAGTTTTGGTGGCCTGAGGCGAATAAAATGAGCAAGGGACAGGACCGCACCCGGAGTAAACCTGTGTGTGTGTGTGTATGTGTGTGTAGACCCCGACGGGAAGACCACACAGCCCTCTTCCCTCTCCCTCCAGCGCGCTAATCGGTGCGGCGGAGAAGGTCTCCTGTCCCAAGGAAGAGCGGAGTGGGACGGAGCGGCCCGGGCAGCGGCGCCCACAGCCTCCTCCTTCTCCAAGCCTGTCCAGGCTTCTGCCGCGGCTCAACTTGGTTCGGAGCTGACTTAACGAATCCCATCTCCTCTCCGCCTTCCCTGCGAAATACACCGCACCCCCCCCCCCCCGCCCCCCCGCCACTCTCCCCAGCGCCTCCTCCTCCTCCTTCCCCCCCCTCCCTTCCCCTTCATTCCTTTGTCCTCTTCGCGATTGGCAGGTTTTATTATTCCGCCTGAACAAGCTGCGGGCGGATTGGGCTAGGCGCCGTGACGCGAGGGGCCGAGCCGCGAGCAGTTGGGATTTTGCTCTGTCAGTAACACATGGGCAAGAGCGGCGCAGAGAAGCTGCGAGGGCGCTAGCGAGAGGGGCCTCCTTTGCACGTCCTGCCGCCGCCGCTGCCGACACCTCCGCGGCTCCTGCTCGGCGGAGCAGCAGCAGCAGCAGCAGCAGGAAGAGAAGCAGCAGCAGCAGCCGCGGCGGTTGTCCCCGCTCTCTCTGCGCTCCGGCTCCTTTCCTCCCGCCTCCCCCCACAGGACCGTAGTTGGTGGGCATCGAAGAGCCGCTTTTTTGGGGGGGAGGGGGGGCAAAGACGCCGGAGCTCCCGCAGGGTTGGAGGAGGAAGAGGTGTCGGCGGCGGAAAAGGGGCCGTGGGGGGAAGAGAGAGCGGGCGGGCGTGCGCGCGCTCCGAAGTGCGGCCAACCTCTGCCAAAACTTAACCCAGCGATTGCAGCAGGCGGCGGCGAAGAAGAAGAAGAAGAAAAAGAAGGCGCCCGCGCCCGCTTTCGGCAGCCGCGAATAAGCTTTTGGTGCAGGCTCCCTTCGAGGGGAAGCCTCGGCGGTCGAAGGAAGAGAAGAGAAGAGAAGGCGGCAGGGCTGAAGCAAAGCCTTTCCCCGGACATTCCCCCCGCCCTCCCGCCGCCGCCGCCAGCCTGCTGTTGCCGCTGTGCTTGCTCCTAACCGTGGGGCTGGCGATTCTCCCGGGCTTGAGAATCTCGCCCAGCACAAGCTTTTCGGGGTGGCTTTTCCGAAGAAGCGGCGACAGATCCCCCGCTCCTTCCTCGGGCCAGAAAACCTTCCCGTCTCCCGAGCGCTCTCCAGACACCTCCGCCACGTTATCCACGGCCTCTTGCACCATAGAGGGAAAACAGGTAAGACGGGGGTCTCTCTCTCTCTCTCTTTCTTTTTTTGGGGAGCCGGGCTGTTATTTTGGACCGCTTCCCAATCGGGCCCCTTTCCCCCCTCCCGCTTCGCCTCCTCCCTTCCCCATCCCGATCCGGAACTGGAAGTCATCGCGCCAGCCTTTTTCTGCTCGGGACCCGGCCGAAGGTTTGCTTGCCTGGCCCGGGGCTGCCCGTCGGGCGGCGCAACGGGGGAAAAAAGGCGAGGAAGGAAAATAAAATAAAATAATAAGCGCTTTGCCCCGAGCGCGCAACGCTTCTTCCCCTCTGCCCGAATCCGCCTGCGAGCCCCGAGAAGCTGGGAGGAGGATCGTCACCCACTTTCTTTGTAGTCAGTGTTATTTTGAAACAGTGGCAGGTCGGGCGGGGGCAAGAGTGTTGGGGGAGACTCTGAAGTGAACTGGGGGGAATGTGTGTGTGTGTGTGTTCGCCTTCTCTTTCTTCCTCTCCCTCCTTGTTTTGTTCGCGAGAAATCTTGATGAATCAACCTAATTAAAACCAAAGCCGTGAATTAAGCATCTCCATGGTTTTGGGGTTTTTTTTTTTGGTACAACAAATTGCAAAGCCTCTACCTTCGTTCGTTCCTCCCTCGGTCTCCATTAAAATCACCAGAGACGACGTTAAAAAGAAGGAGGGTGTGTTTTGCCTCTATCTGCCAGCTCTCTCTCTTTCTCTCTCTTTTTTTGTTTCATTGCCTCTGTTCGGGGACCTAAATTGCTTAGCTGTGTAATTTCCAGAGTAAGCCTATTTAACTTAAAAGCTTTTTTTCTCTCTCTCTCTGTCACCCCTCCAATTCCAAATGAAACTTGAGGAGGACCTGTCCTTAGTTATCAGGGAGTCACTTTCTGGTCAGTCCTCCTGATTTGGCCTCTTTTAGATTTAATCAGCATTAAGGTATTGCCTGTCCTTAAGAGCTTTAAGCTTAATGGGGTTACTGGACGCTTCTGTCCCTGTAACGTTTCCTTTATATATAATATTTACCTTTCAAAGCAGATTGGCTGTGTGTGTGCGCGTGAGAGAGAGAGAGAGAGAGAGAGAGAGAAAATCGGTGGGGTTTGTATTTGTCTGCCTACACACGATCTCCATGGGGTTTATATAATTTGAAATCTGTTTGTTTTAAATAAAAGTAAGAAATGCAGATTCATATTGCTGGAAGTAGTAACAAAAGGCCATTCCGAGAGTTAAATGCATCAGAAATCAATTTACATAAAGGTATATGGTGCATTCAGAGAAATGCAATGCTAATGGCTTTTAGAGTGGTTCTCTTTCCCAAGTCTTGGGGTTTTTAGTTACAGTCTTAATTGGTGCAGTTCTCAGTCTGGTTTATTGTGTGGTCATCTGAAACATATGATCAGGAGTTATTTTGAAGGAAATCCTGTTTGTTTTATTCTTTTTTTAATGGCCTATTTTAAGGAACCTGAAGCTGCTGTCGTACTGAAGTTAGGCAAGTGGCAAGAAAGTTTGCGCTCTTTTTCCCCTTGGGAGTCTTATTAAATAAATAGATGCCTTGGGTTGAGCAAGTACAGCTTAGGAAGGACAAAGGCAAAATGGGCTGTTAAAATGGCAGTAAATAACTTGATATTTTATTACAGAAATGACAGAAGGGGCACTCCTATTTTGGCTACTGGAGCAAATTAATCTGTTTGGAATAAGCTTTATGAATTGGTTCTATTATTAATCTCTCAATTGCCCTGCTTTTAGAAGTGTTTATTAGAAAGCAACAAACACATCTCTGTGAGTGTGTGTACACAATCTTTAAACAAAAATAGCAATTTTACAAACAGCTATGCTTAGCTGTTTCCTAGTGGAGCATACTTGAATAATCTATACCTCTGCTATTACCATAAAAACTTTTTTTTTCTTTTTTAGGGCAACAAAGCGTTTAGCATTTAAATTGCTGATCAAGGGCAGATTAGCAAAACAAAGGTAGATTGTATTTGTATAGGAAGTTAACAGGCTTCTTAAAGTTTAGTGATCCATTATTATTATTTTTTCAGGAGGTGGGGCTCCACAGCATTTGATCTTTTTTAGAACAAATACATTAGGACAATCATGGTTGGAGCCCCTGCAGATAACAATGGCAAGAAAAATGAGACCTTGAAAAACCAGTTTCACAACTTTCTAGATTTTTTCAAAAGATTACTTTCCTACCTAGAACTAAACAATTTCCTCAACTCTTCTCAACATGAGAAGTAGTACAGCTGTGCTTTGCAAGAATTGTAATTGGTGTTCTTCTAGCTGGTTTTTCTGCCCTTCTAGTTTTAGTGATGTGGGCCCCAACCATTTATATCTGGGAGGGCCAAGTAGACTGTGTGACTCCAGGTGTGTGTACTTTCTTGGCAATAAACAAAGCAGAGGTCACTCTAAATTTGACAGGAGCATTGCGAGCTAAAACTGTCACTGGGCACCACTGGCCAACTTGGAAGGGACGTGGCTAATTAACCCAGAACAAAGACTTGGAAAAGTAAACAAGTGGCTGTTCCCCATCTTTCTCTCTCTTCTCTCCCTAGGAAGTGCTACATTAAGCAGGCAAATTGCACCATTGTTTACCTGAAAATTAATCCACTCTTCTCCCTTCCTTCCTTCCTTCCTTCCTTCCTTCCTTCCTTCCTTCCTTCCTTCCTTCCTTCCTTCCTTCCTTTTTTTTCCTATTCAGACCATGGTGAACCCAGGAAGCAGCTCGCAACCGCCCCCTGTCACCAGTGGCTCCCTCTCATGGAAAAGATGCGCAGGCTGCGGGGGAAAGATTGCTGATCGCTTCTTGCTCTATGCCATGGATAGCTATTGGCACAGTCGGTGCCTGAAGTGCTCCTGCTGCCAAGCCCAGCTGGGAGAAATCGGGACATCTTGTTACACAAAAAGTGGCATGATCCTGTGCAGAAATGACTATATCAGGTGAGTTGGGCAGAGAGAAAGAAGATGCAGAGGTGCAAAAGAAAGCTTGAACTAGAAACAACCCCATCTGTAGGTAGCATTTCAGAACTAGAAGCCTGATTTTGTAAGGGCATGCCTTTTCCTGGATAACAGTGGAAAAGTTGGGAGAGATGTGAATAAATCAACTTTTGAGGTGCTCCTGAACTTTTAAGAATTCCAGCTCACAGCTAGCTGCTAAAAACTATTTTGCGCAAGTAGAATTGGGTTTCTTTGCTACCTTAAAAAAAAAGAGAGAGAGCTAGCTGGGACTGTGAATGGATAAAGTAATGATTCGCTGTGGTATTTTCAATTAAAGGTGTTTCTATATATGTGTTGTAAAAGTGTTGATCAGCTGTTGATGTGGTGACACACACCCAAAATTGTAGTCCATTAGTAATGTTTATGTTCATATTGCTGGAGGGCTTATTTTTCAGTAGCTCGGGAATACTGGATGTAGATGAATAAACAGTTAAATATCTCTAGTTACAAAAAGCACTTGCTTCACTTTTTCAACAACAGTTTTGTTTTTCCTAATGTAAACTATGTTTTGATGCAATTAACAAAGAATTTTAAGAGGTCAGGTACCTATTTGGATCTTTTCAGGTGAACTTGAGCTCTTTCAAACTAATTTGAAAGGAGGCATTTTGAAGGATTACACATTTAATTTGAGTAAATGGCTTGATAGACTTGATGCACATGAATGCTTTGAGGGGGTGATCTAGTTCAGCAGCCAGTAATTAAACAGCCTCCTTCTCTCTCTCTCTCTCTCTCTCTCTCATATTCCCCCCCCCCCCCCAATTTTGGCATGGAAAGAATGTTAAAAAAAAGAGATATTGTCTCACTAGTCTTTATTTTTGGACTTCATAGATTATATTTAGAAGTGTCTTAAGGGTGAAAGAACCAGTTTCATGGTTGAATATTTCCCTTATACTCCCATCTCAGATGTTAATGTTTGGCTATAAATGTTTTAAACGTTTTACTGGTGGAATTTCTATTGGACTGTAGTACTGTGTAGTACTACAAAGTGTAGTATTGTGCTGAATTTTAGCTCTCCTGTACTGATATCTGAGAATAATGCACCAGAGAGATTTTTGCTTGCTTGTAATTTATTGTTTATCCTTTTTTTTTCTGCAGGCACTTTCAGCCAGTTAAATAGAATGCAGAAAAAAAGTCATTAAATTTTTTTAGGCAGCTTCCAATATTAATTTTGTTCAGCATCCAGATTTTTAGAATAAATGGTAAAGCACAAGTTTGTGCAAGCTTGCACAGATGTATTCTTGATCCCTGTCTGAAGCAACTACATAAGCGAGACATAATTCTAATTAAATAGAGCAGAACGGTTAGAGAAAGAGGTTTGTTTGAAGTGGAAAAATTGACACTACTGTTCAAATTCAATGAACAGTACAGATTTCGTCTCTTTCTACTAAAACCGTCAAACAAACCTCTTATGATCACTACTAATTAAAAAGAGAAGTTCCCTACTGTATCCCTAAGGCAAGTTCAGACCAGCTTATTGGAATCTGTCCTTCAGGTTTTTTTTTTTTTAATCTGGCCAAAAGATATTGCAGGTGTGGTTTCGGGTTGTTAAAACAGTGCTCTTTATCAGATGGTAAATTTGAACTGGTTTTATTCAATCATCTTGACTTTTCTATAGAACCAAATAGTTTTCCAGGCAAAATGAAGATCAGGACATTTTAATGCATCAAGTATGTGCTGTGCTTCTGGAAATCTGTTCTAGACAAAAGACTACTGATCTAGATATAAAGACCAGATTTTCCTTTGATATCCAAAACAAGTAAGTGGAAATCCTGGTGTGTCAAGAAATGGGATGCAACCATTTCATCAGCATTCAATCTGGTGGGTTTTGGGATAACAAGAGGTGCTAAAAGAACAGTCCTCCGAAGTCCTCTTTTGTCCTATGGGCTGTGTGCAGAAATTCCAACTATGATTTTAATTAGAGTTACAGTAGGATGCTTTCATTATAAAGCTGAGAGGAGAATTGATTATTCAGTTCTGAAATGAAAGCCTGTGACTGCTTTAAGACTGTGATAGGAGTAGATTTGCCTTCCCCCTCCTTTTTTTTTTAATCAAGGGGCTTTTACATTGACTTTGAACTGTAGTTTTTCAAAACTGGGCTCAAAACAGCTTAAGGATGCTTGTGTGCATGTGTAAAGGGATGGTGTCCGTTGACTTTTTTTTTCTGGCTCCTTAACTTGCAACCATAGTACTCTAAATGGCGGGGGGGACTGGAAAGGAGGCGGTATTGGGCAGCCCTCCCAGTCATGAGATTCTAGATAAAGCAGCAGCAGTGTGGCAGTGAATCTGCACAATTAAGAGCTTTAATTAGTGTCTCCTCCATTTTCTTTTAGTTCTGATAGGTTTTATCTAATGAGATCTCATCCCTGGCTTAGATCTGCCTGGAATGACGTGTCCGAAATGAATGAGAGTGGTGTCGCAAACAAAACATTTAATTAACAAAATTGGCCTTGGAGAGAGCAGGAGAAGAGAATTGGCTAGGGTGGATTTGAAAAGTGTGATGGTGGGGAAGCGAAATAGACTTTTCTTAAAGGGCTAGTGCTTTAACTCTACATCTACAGTTCCTTAATATAGTTTTAATACATCCTATTTGGAATCTGTTGCTGGGGTGGGGTGAAGTGGACAAAAGGTGCCTCGGTCCCCCCCCTTTTTTTTTTTGCTTTAATTAAGGTTAAGATCAAATGGTTTTGTCCTTGGATGGAATGGACTCTTCAGCTTCTCCCACCTACCTAACCCTGCTAATGCCCATGGTGTATTTGACATGCCAGGGCAGGCATTCAATCCCTATTTCAACAAGCAAAAGATACTCTATTTTCTCCTCCCTGCTCATTGCCATTCACATGGTTGTCCACAGTATGAGCTGTTTGAGGAGGGGAGGAAAAGCAAGGGAGCCGCCAGGCAGCGAGTTCATTTTTCTGGTAATCAACAGCAAGCTGCTATATTCAGGGAATGCTGTCCCTTTAATTGAACAGGCTAGGTAATTAAATGGCATTTTTCCAATAGGACGTGCTAGGTAAATCTAATAGTTGGTTATTTAATATCACTTTGAAGTCTGCCCACTCAAGCACAATGACAGCACGGGAGCATGTGAACTATTAGCTTGGAAAAAAAAAATCCAGGATCTCAAAAATTAATTAAATCGCATGCAATTTAGGGGGAACGTTTATCTTGATTTGTCATAACAGAATTAATTCAAGGCCTCCAATTCACTTGGGGGCAGATCTGTTACTCTGAATTAACCAAGCGTAATTTGGCTGATTTTTTTTTTCTTCTTCTTCTCCCCACTTCTACTGCAGTACTTGCATATCTTCCCTCCTCCCCTTTTTTTGGTATCTGTAGCCTTTGGTACTTTTAAAGTGCTGGGACTATAGTTATGCCCAAGTACCTTTAATCAGTTTGGCTCCGGGCATCATTTTCTAGGTAACCTTTGTTCCATACAATAGAAAGAGGGCAGAATCTAGATGCAGTTGTGCAAAACCAATGCTCTTGGATCCATAGCTTTGGAGGTGTCTTTCTGAGGAAAACTTTCGGCAGTAGTTCTCCCGCTGCTCCTTTCCGGGCAAGGGACAAAAGCGTTCATGAGCTATTGGTGCAGAGATGCTTGAATTCTACAATTCTCAAAATCCCTTTTTTGTGTTAGTTTTTGTAATGTAGTTGAAAAGTACATGGCTGCCTTTTTGAGCAGGAAGAAGCTCAAGAAGCTCCTTGATCTCATCCACTTGTTTGCACCCCATTATTACCGGCCCTGCTTTAAAAGTCCCAACACCTATAAATGGATGGTGGTTGGCAAGAGAGGGGAGTTAATGCTGAGGTGGCTGTTCTTTTGTAGAATTCTTTCATCCACATACGCAACTTTGCAATGTTGGTGATTGATTTTGTTGTCCAAACGTTGAAATATTAACAACCTCCTTAGACTCCAGGACCCAAAGAGAGGAAACCGAAACCACTTCTGTCATTGCAATTAAAAAGTCCCCTGGCTTTAATTAGCCTGACCTGGGGTATCTCTTCCCCCATTGCTGGAGTTAAAGGGGAAAAAAAAAGAGGCTATTAAAGTCCATTCTGAGACTGATAGCTTCCTAATTTAGTATCAAAAGCCTCCAGCCTTTTAAATTAAATACTGTCCTGGACAGTCTCCCTGATTAGCTAATTAACTTTCCTTTCTCATAGAAACCATGTAAAAATAACTTTTCAGTCAAGAAGGTGGTTAACAGTCATTGTCTTTCTACTGGGGAAAGAAATAAAATTCCTCCAAAACTATCCAGTAAGCCGCTATAAAAACAATTCTCTTTTTTTAAAAAAAAACCTCAAATTGCAGTTTTTTTTAAAAAAAAGTTGCATTTTTTTATTTTTAGTAGCCCAAATCTACATATTAAACATCTGCAGAGCATCTTTAATTATAATTTTCAGTTGCAGATGTTCTTTTGCAAAAATGACAAATGGTTCTAGGATGAGGCTTTATGCATGGAGTGTAAACGAGCAGGTAGTTTTTTTGACTTCGGTGGCGATTAAAACTGCTTAGTTTAGATTTCAAACACACAGCTGCCTTTAGTTGGGGAAATTTATGCAGCACAGTCCTGAGGAAGAGCGGAGGCCCAGTGAAATTGGAAGGATTACATTTGTTTTCAGCAGTCCCATGTACCTAGCTCCCTTCTTATTCCACAAGATGTTGTGAAAAGTTTTTAGCACAAGTGAAAGAGTGTAGGTATGTGCCTGTGTTTTTTTTTTTAAGGGGAAGAGCCCCCACGCCATTTTTCAGTTTACCTTTCATAGCACTAAAAAAAAAACCCCAACCCTTTAATTAGAATAACATTGCTACTTGGGTCCTAGTTCTACAGACATACCTAAAGCAGCCTCGCCTTTTGCTTTTCGAAAGGCCTTCTTTAAAACTGATGATCACGGGGCAGGGAAAGGAGAAAAACTAATGCATGTAGCGGAGCTTTGGATGGAGGTTCTTGTAAATACTTTGAAGCAGGTCCTACTGATTGAGCAGATAGTAGACTAGCAGCACCCCTTCAGTTTTCTAGAGCGTGTAGGCTCAAGGTCTTGGCACTGTATTAGTTCAGTCTTTTCTTTGTACCCATTCTAACTCGGAAGAAAGTGTCAGTGTGTTGCGGATCTCAGACTAATTAGTTTTGAAATGGAGTTTTGATTGAACTCTTCAAATCGATGCTGCTGCAAAATTTGTTTCTTGGGCTTCCTATTAAAAGCCATCTTAAGGGGCAGTTTTACTACTCTCCCTGTCGTTCAGTCGATACATTTAATAACAACTTACAGGCTATTTTCAATAAAGTGGCGACAGCAAATTAGTAGTTTGAACATGACATGCCTCCCTCTGCAAGCACTGATTCTGGAAAAACTCAAAGCAATTATTTTTTGCCTCTCTTTCTCCTTGATACAGAAATATGCAGCAAACATTCAGATTAAAGTGTTTTCTGAAAAGAAAAGAAAAATACATCCTCCAAAATGATGCCCCTATACAATTTCATGATTTTATTGTTGGGGGGTGGGAAGGCAATGCAAATAAATGATCTTTATTTGCAACAGCAGTGCATTAATTTGGTGAGTTTCAATGCTTCCTCCCCCCATATACTGTGGGGTGGTGGGAAAAGAGAGGGAATTACTATGAGCTTGCCAGCTAGTTTGGATTTCTCTTCTGCTGTGAGATGGTTGAGGGTTCATCATTATAGGTTATTGTTGATGCAGCAGGGAAAAGGGGAAAAAAATGTAAAAAGCTTTTGCGGAACGTGTATTAAAATATGTACAAAACAAGGAATCATCAATATTTATTCAAGTATATCACAATGCAGTAGAAAAATTGTGTATGTTTTTCTACAGTCTTCCTCTCCCCCCTTCTGCTTTTTCTATTCTGCTTCCTTTCTCTCTCTCTCCTTCTCCTCTCTTTCTTTCTCTTCTCTCTCTCTCTCTCTCCCCCTCCTCCTCCCCCCCAATGGCAGATGTTGTGGTCTCATTTGATTGCATAGGAAAACTGCAGTGATACAGCAAACACCCAGAGAGATATGATGACAAATGGGTCCAGATCCCGGTAAATTACTTTCTGCTCAAATCGAAATTTCATTCAGTTTGTTGCTAGCAGAGATGAAGTAATCTAAATTGTGGACTCAGGAGCAGATAGAGGGAAGTTGGAGCAAGCATTTCATTATCGAGAGAGAGTGAGAGAGAGAGAGACACACACACAGAGAGAAAGAGAGAGAAGGTTAGGATGAAAGAGATGAGCAGAGGCAAATCTAAAGTGTTGACACCATGATTGAAAAGGTTAACCCGTACACATTATATATCAACCTGGATAGCCGAGAGTTTCTAATGGGAACTCTGCCCTGATGGAGGTTTACTGGAGTTTCAATACACTGAGCATGATGTCGTCTTAGATATACAATCAAATCCTCTTAACCCGTTTGATGACTCATCTCTCAAGATATGATTAAAGTACGAAAAAGTTCTTCATATAATTTCAAGGACACAGTACATTTAAACTCTAGTCATGAATTCTGTCCTAGGTTTTTTTTTTTATGACAAACCCAGTAATCTGATAAAAAGTGTAGAGAATTGCTTTGTGTTGCTAGACACAATTCAACATTTTATTAGATCCTGTGCCTCCCAAGTCTTGAGCAGTAAGTGATAATTCTCCATCAATTTGGTCTGCGTTCTGTCCTTTAAATTTATTGCATCCCAAAGTATGTAAAAAAAGGAGGAGGATTTTTATCAGTTGAAAATTGCTGTTTTGGTTTTGACTTCTTTATTCACAGAGAAACATATCAAACACCCTCTTTCTGTTTTCAGGTTATTTGGAAATAGTGGCGCTTGCAGTGCTTGTGGGCAGTCAATTCCTGCTAGTGAGCTGGTTATGAGGGCACAAGGAAATGTCTATCATCTTAAGGTAAGAAAATGTTTCTTTCCGATGCTTCCCGTCCATGAAGAGTACCATTTCTGCACTTAGATTTGTTTCAGAAGATCAGCATCTCCTTTGAGTTCATCAGCCAGGGTTGGTCCTAAACAGAAAAAGATTTCTAAGATCTCCCAGTGATTTATGGAGCCAACACTACATTTGAAAACGCTGCTAAATCCTAACAAGTGTCATATGTTCTTTTATTTGGACAAATCTGCATAGACACATTTTGCTGCAACATAATGCAGAGCCTGTTTGCAAATCTAACACCAAAGTTTACCTTTGCTTTTGTGTTCACCCAGTGCTTTACCTGTTCAACCTGCCGAAACCGCCTGGTCCCTGGAGACAGGTTTCACTACATCAATGGCAGTTTATTCTGTGAACATGATAGACCCACAGCTCTCATCAATGGCCATTTGAATTCACTTCAGAGCAATCCACTACTGCCAGACCAGAAGGTAACTTTTCAACAATTGCTGATAGGCCTCATTTAAGCTAAAATAACGAGTAATGTCTTCTCAAAACAATACTGTGTATATCATTTCGAACAGTGTCCCATGATTGAAAGTAGTTAATGGGATGCATGTCTAAACATGAAGGTGTTTTAAGTGGTACAGTGAATCTGGGTCCAATTCGTATGTAAACTTCTTAAGTGCTTCTTGGATTATTAAGCTAATTCTACTCAAGTGGTCTATGAAAACATTGCAGTAGCGTTTGAAATCCAGTTGACCTGTGTTTGGTTTACCAGTTTGACCTAGTCAAATCTTGGGCAGATGATGGGGGAGAAGACGGTCTTCCGTTTAGCTCCTTTTGATCATGTTGGTTATGTATTTCTTAACATCAAGTGCTGAAATTTAACATGGTTTTTCTCAAGTTAGTGGAATCAGAAACAGTGATGATCAACAGTTCTATCATACCTTTTCTGGAACTGGACAGATTTTAGATCTATTTTAATCTCCCTAATAAGTCCCATAGCTATGCAAGTGAGTGCATTTTGATAACTGAAATGCCTAATTTATAATAATTACTGTCAACCTTCAGTTAAGGGACTGTTCATTCGCTGGTCCAAAAAACTCTGAATGCACAAGTCTTGCACATAATTTTATTCGCATCATATTTCATACTGATTATGTATTGATGACATTGATTCATTTACTCTTTACAGCGCCTCTTGCATGGATATTAAATCTTATTGACCACAGATGAATTTTAATTTCAAATTGGTGATGGATTTTTCCATCAGCTCTGATAGTATATTTGACTTTTTCATCATTAACCCAGGCAATCGCACAGTACTGAGTTATTACATTGAAACAAAGTGCACACTTCACTTGGTAATTTTTTATGGATTTACAATAGGAACTTCATTAACGTCTATTCTAAGGATAACAAAAAATAACATTTATCTGTTAGTAAGAATTTTGAAGATAAAATTTAAACCCATCTCCTGGGGCAGTTTGTGAATTCCGCAGCAACCAAGAGAATATAAATACTCTCTGTCTTTAGAGGGTAAATAATTCAGAAAAATTATCAGCTCTTGCCTGAATAGGTAGGACCTTGCTACAATTAATAATTGTCATTTATTTAGTAGTTATCCTGCAAGTCTTGTTCTTCAATAGGGGATCCCTATGCACATTATTTGGAAACAAATCTTTGAGTTTGATAGGAATTGTTTCAGAATAAACTGGTTTAAGATTATTTTTTCTCTTTGTACTGTTTGGGTGTACGAGTGGTTTATAATCTGGATACAAACTAGTCTCCTGGCTAATAAATAATTCCCTTTTTAAAAGTAAGCAAAGTCTTTTATATTTGTTTCTGGTGACTGTGAGCATGTTTGAACATGCTTGGTCATTCCTTTATACATTTCCCCTATGTTTTATGTGCTTCAGCAGTTACAATTAGAAGATAGAAATTGTCGTACAGTACTAGCATTGCAAAGCTGAATCCATCTCCCATCTGGAACAGTTAAATAAAAGAAGGATATTAACTTGTGTTGCTGTAGTACATTAAAAGATTGGGGGAATGGGAGGCAGTGCATAGGGGCAGGAACATATCATCCTTAGTGGGTAATCCTAGTCCAGACTAATAAATGATTTAACTAATACGATTTTGCCACATAACATCAGGTCAGAAGCATCAAGGATGTAACATTTTGGAAGCAAGTAGTTTGTTCCCCCTTCTGTGCTGCATATTCTGTACATTACACAGAGGGAAGAATTGGATGCTTCAATTGTAGTCAGTTACCCAGTAGGCACAATCATCTAATGCTTAAGGAGCCTAGACTGATTTACTCTGTTTATATGATTAGTCTCTTGTCTCCTTTCCTCATTCTTCAGTAGCGGAATCTTCATTGGGCCTTCTAGTCTAAAACGGAACAGCTGAATCTAACTGCTTCTCTACTGTGCTGTGAATACTGCCTAACTTACTATATATTGCTTTAATAAATACCAACAGTCACTAAACGTAGATCTATTTATCGAAGGATAGAGTAGACTGTGCTTTTTAAATAAGTTAATCATCTAAAACCAGCCAAGCAATTTTTAAAATTAGTATAATAAAATTTAGCCCAATCAGCTTATTCTGTCCCTAGTTAGTATAATTTCTACACCATAGTCAGGAGTTCATATTGGCCCACTGAGTCAAATACCCTCAATGTTTCTATTTCCAAACAAAAATCCTATTGTCTTAAGAAATGAAGCAAAAATGTTCATCACTATTGAACATAAGAAAATTTTCTTGAATCAGTTACCGACTCTTAAACTGTGCATTTAAGATTTGCCAGTCTTACAGTTATCTATATTCCAGAATGAGCAATAATTACTCCTGTGGTTTGTTCCATTATTATTTTAAACTAGAAACTTACATAACGTGCAGTTTAAAGTAGAACTTTCTAGAATATGTATCCTTTGTGGCTATACAAAGGATATTAGTGAAGTCACTAGTAACTTTAAATATTAAAATACACACACACACACACACGTTACCTTTTAAAAGATTATTATGCGAGCCACTGCAGATTTTTGGTCACAATTGAAGCCGAGGCACTTTCTCTAGGGCAAGTAATTGGTTATGTAGTCTACTTGACTCCATCTCTTTTCTTCTTTCCCAACTCCGCAGCCTGTTTTTTACAGGGTATAAGTTTTCCTTTCATTGGTGGTGACCAAAGCATTCCCTTTGATCCAGCTCCTATAGTTTTAAATAAAGCATGAGTTAGATTACTTTTTGCTATTCTTTCTCTTGCAGAGAAGCTTCTAGTTTACATATCATTCAACAGTTCCCTTGTACTTACATAATTGGCATTGTCTGTGTCCATAGTAGAGGACACTTGATGCTCATTTATTAAATATGCTTGCTGGCTGCTCCCTAATCTTTGTTCTGGACAGACAAATTACCTTTCTCACACTGAGTATCAACTCTGGGGAATTAAACCTCCAAGCTTCCACCAGTTTAATTAGCTTGAAAGTGGGGGGCTGCAGTTACTAATTGACCTCAGGCTTTTAGTAACTTCAAGGAAGGGTAAAAAAAAAACTTCTTAGGAAATTCAAAATGTCATTTAAAAACCATAAAAATCTAATATATTATTTCATTTTCATAATTGCAAACAGATTGCATTTGAAAACTGTCGATCGTTTCTACTTTATCTGTGGAAGTTAGATTTCTGTCTAGCTAGGCATTTTTAATTATCACAATTCATTAACACATCACAGTGGAGGCACATGTTTGACTTTGTATATTACAGAGTTTATGTAACATTAACGTAGCAGATGAGGAATCTTAAATGGAAGGAAAATATTCCAAAATGTCTATATTTAGTTTTTGTGCTATGCAGCATGCTAACTACTGTTGCCTAGGGGAGGGTATGCTTTGACAGAATTTTTTCCCTAATTTAGAAGATCACTTTACTTGGTTCTTCAAAGGAAAGGCATGTCATTTAATCCCAGTCCAAAGGAAATGCATCTTTTGTAAAAGAAATAAAAAGAGACTGTAGGATTTCTCACTCGAAGCATTTTTCCCCTTTGGTGAAAGTATATCTTGCTGTCAAAATGCAGAAAATATTTTTTGCGGTCTGTTTCTCCATTTGAACTCTTTAGGGACTTGGATAGGTATTACAGAAAACCTTTAATCGAGTCACAGTTGGAATCTAATTTAATAGAATAAGCGAATCGCGAGAAGACGAAAGCAGTCACGTTCAGCTCAAATCAAGCCTTTTAGCTAAGATGCCCCTTTTTATTTCTTGCAGGTCTGCTAAAAGATCAGAGTACTGCAGAATGCGTGCCTTCATCTCAAACTTTGTTCATCACAGATGGATCCCATGTCTCCAGTAGACAAGTCACCTTTGTAGCTAGCATCAGTGCCAGCTCCATGCCATTGCACCTTCTTTACTCTTGATTGCCCTTCTCACATTTATTGGTGTATTAAAATGACTGAAAACGAACATTAAGAACTCCATGAATTTGGGCTAATAGGAGACCGTAGAGAAAAATGGAGGGGGAAAAAAAAAGATCCACCGGAGGAGAGAACAACTTTGGGTGGGCAGGGTGGGGACAAATGACTAATGAAGCTAATCCAGATAAGCTTTTCAAGTCTGCTTTCTACCCTCATTAACAATTAGCAGGGCACTGGTGAAAATTTGTACCCTGTGATTTACCTTAACAGCATTCTCTTTGCTCTTTGTATAATTTACGTGTTGTAGGAAATGTTCAAAACTCAAACCTGAGCTAATGGAAAGATGGGGCTCTTGTGATAATCTTATCACAAATACTTTTATTGTATCTCTGTAAAATACAAATGTATGTATGCATGTAAGTGTGTTTTGTCCTAATGTTGCTACTTCCCATGACACAGAAAGAAAAAGGAAAAAAAATCAAGCTCATAGCAGCAACTGTAGAATTTTCATCTACTCCTAATTCGCTGAATGAAGAAGAAAAATCTTTTATTTGTGATATTTTCAGAGACATTTGCTCTAGTATGGTGTATTTAAATAATAAAAAACTTAAAATGAAAGGAACTGTAATTGATTTTGGACTACAGTACAATGGGGCAATTTTTTTATCAAGGGATGAAGTCTGTCACAATAAGTTAATTTTTAAAACCTGGTTTTCCTGCTTTCCAGTAGCTCCATGGCAAAAAGGAATGCATTGAAATCTATACAAAGAGATACTTTTAGCAGTGCTACCAAATTCAAAAGTTATGTCTAATATATCAAGGATTTGTTTCTATGACAGTAATGTTTAATGGCAGGTAGATTTAACTAAAGAATTTTGTGCTCCCTTCACTTAAGTCATCCAATTTTCATGAATGATAGAAAACATAGGTCTATCCTAACATTATTAACTTGCTAACTGTAATCATTTTTATGTGAATTCAAAAGCACATCTAGGAATTAGGGTGGTTTCTAAGATGCCAAGTTACTCAAGAGTGTCCTGGTTATGAACATTTTGTTTAAAATGTCTCATTCTGTAGCAAAACATCCCAAGAAAAGAATGACACTTCACTTATTTTTCTGCTTTGAAATAGCCCCCTTCTCCCAAATTATGAGTAATGTCTTGGTACTGCATGAATACAAACTTTTTTTCATTGTTTTTCCAAGATGCAAATCTATTTTTTTTATACTCCGTGAACGTGACAATCACCTTGGTGCATAAAGAGATATGCTGTATGTAATCCATATATACCCAAGACCATAGAGCATTATAGGAAATTAAAGGCAAGTATACAAAAGCTGCTTATAATTAAAGTCTTGTATGTGCGCCTTACAAAGTCCCCAAATGGGAAATAATATTTCAATTATCCGAGTTGCTGGTTTATAGAGTTCATGAAATGGCTAATAAATTGGCTTTAATTGGTGTTTCCCAACCAGTTTTCAGGTGTGTGAAATTCTGGGAATTGCCATGGTTGGGAAACCATGGCTTATCCAATGTCCTGAAATTTATCTTTTGTGGGGAAATGTAATGAAATGACAATGAAGTACGCGGTTAAAATGGAAAAAAAATTCTGGGGTTTTTTGGGCTTTTGGCAGATGGCATAATTGGGCACATTTTGTCTGTAGTTCTGGAAATGTTTCAACATCATCATACTAATTTTTATATAAGTAGGAATAAAAGATTCTTGCTACAGCTGAAAAGTTGCCAAATGTGATCTGAAATATTCTTTATAATTATGGATAAAAAGTGCCCTTCAAGCTGAATTTGATTTGGGTGATTTCATGGACATGTATCTAATTTCATACAGAAACAACTAAAACATAACCACATTACATAAGATTGGCAGTTGTTGTTTTTACTCAATAAATGGCTAATAGCTCTGAGTGTTAACTAGGGGATGTAACATGCAGAGTTCTGGCTTTTCATTAAATTTTGCATACTTTCTTCATCACCACCACAAAACAATTCAAGTTGGGTTGTACCCAAAATAACAATGTAATCCACGAGTAATTTGTAGTCTAAATTTATGGCTTAATGTTGATTTGCCTGTAAGATGGTTTGTGTAATCATCATCCATGCAAACTGAGGAAAGACATACATTTTGAATTCCAAATGCTGGTAAATATTAATGTTCTCTGGAGTGAGAAGTACTGCATCATTTTATTTCTGGCTAAGAAGATACATGCACTTGAGGCTCCGAAACTGTAAAAATAGCTAATTGCAAATTCATTAAAAGTAAAGGATTTTAATATACACATTTTAATTTTGATCAGAGCAATAGTTAAATGTATTGCATTTCCCGCAGAATCCACTGAAACATTGGCCTAGTTTGGTTGTAATGTCCAACCATGATTTAGTATTACATGACTGAATTCAGCTCCCTGATTTCCAAATGAGCCAGTTAAGGAAATCTGAATGTGGGAGGTGAAGCTGGAAAGTGATTCTGTGACTCCTTGTGTTGCCAAACAGACTTCATTTCCTAGCTAAGCAACTGTATCCTATCTGCAAATTATTGTGCTGTCTTTACGGCATACACACATAGGCACACAGAAACACAAAACTCAATATATGATAATAGTTCTGGCCAAAATCCTGAGGCCAAGTAATAGTTTACAAAGATATTTTACATCGTAAAGCAAATCCTAAATACATCAAAGAGGGCTGAAAAGTTATTTTGGGACATTCTACTGTTGGAGTGAAAACGTGCTAGGGTTGGTGTTTTTTTTTTTAAAAAAACCTATTGTGTGATATAATCTAGACATACTAGAGGATGATTAATAACTTTCAATAAACCATAGTATAGCATTAAGCAATGAAGAGACTGAAGTTCGTTAAAGATTTCAAATAAGCTTTTTATGTGCCTGGTTCTTAAAGCACTGCTACCTATATAATAGAGAGCTTAAAAAGCTGTCTTAAATTGCAGACCTTATAAGATTACAAATGTCTCCTGTGTTAGCATAATCCACATGCAAGTGATAAAGTCTGTGCTTTGATGTGCTAAATTGGAGGATTCTTGGGGCTATGAATATATATATATATATAACGTCTGATAGAACGTCTTTAACTAGATTGGGATTAAAGCATGACAGAAACCACAGACCTACAAAACAATAAAAACAGGTGTTCGTGGTGAGGGAAGGTTCTAGCGCAATTTGGTACTAGGCAAGACAGTTTGGAAATTTGGTCCTCTATGATTTGCAGCGGGAAAGGTAATTTTAACATGCTTGCTCTTTGTCCATCATTTCTTCCTAAGTTAGTGTTGCTTAGAGAGGCTTGAACTTGCTGTTCCCATCGTGTGGTATAGCCATGGGTGAATGTATAAGAGTAGGACTCCATCGCAGCTGGAGAGCATTAACTTGGAAAAGTGCTCTGGTCTGTGCATTTGTCACAGCCTCTGTCTTGAATCTGGTGGGTGTATGTATGTATGTATGTATGTATGTAATAGATGGATTCATCCATAGACAGTCCTGCAAACATGTAGTTTATTCATCAGAATCTATTGCATTAAAAATAGTTGGAGCTCACAAAAAAACCCTCAGAATAAATTGTACCACTGTGAAAGCATCCTTGTAAATAGGTACTATTGTCATATTAGCTTTATGCGGAAATAGTAAAGCTATTGTTAACTTTAATGAACTAATTTTGCAAAAGGACTGCTCCAGCAAATTTTACATATCCAGTGTTTGGTGATTTCTGCATATCCCACAGCCATGGAAACATTTAAACTTCTCCAAGCTGAATTCTGTATCTAATGAGAGACTACTTTGTGCTTCAAAATTCTTTAATTAGGTTATATTATACATTAGAAAAGCAATCATTCACACCAAAAAAAAAAAAAAAAAAGAGAGAGAAGGAAACAAGCACTGCCTTTAAAAGTGGGGTAGACCAGCTACAAGCTACTTCAGTACTTGTCTTACTCTTCATAAGAAGTGGCAAAAAGAGAAGAAGTTGGGCAATAGAGGTATGTGATTTTCCAAATTTTAGCGACTTTGTAGTTTTGGTTTCATCTATCAGTAGTTGTGCGCATACATACCCAGATCAATTTTTCCTGCGTGCCAACGGCTCTTACTAGGAAAAAAAATTTCTGCCTCGCCTTTAAAATGTTAATAAGAAATCAACGGAAGATTGGCTATCAGTGTTAAACATTTACTGTTTTGGGTTTAAAAGAGTATAATTCTTAACAAAGAAAGCTTTATAATTTAATGGCACTTAGATTTATCATAATGTTTCAAAAATTTGCAAGATTCGAGTGCTTGAGAAATGTATTTCAAACAGCACTCGTTTAATAAAGATGAGGAATGAGATTAGGGAGTGTATAAGATTTCTTTATGCAAAAGGCTTCGGTATGTGACTATCATGACTTAGATCATTATTTGCACCTCTGTGTCTTGATGTCATTGAACAGAAAGTCCCCGGACTTCTATTGTCCTCTCTTCTTTCGGGTGCACGCATGCATTGTTAGTCTGGCTTAGCTGTAGGAAAATTTATTACAGTTAAGTGGCAATTTGTTGCCATGAAACTGCAATTAAAGTATTACAGAGCAGCCATTTTAGATTAACACACATTCAGAGCATGGGCAAGCATAGAACAGTTCTTATCTTTACAGCATCTGAGCTCTGCATAACTGTAAAACAGTGACATGTTCACCTATATCTTTTGTCAAGTTAAAGAATTTGAGCTCTCCTGGGAGCACTGTGATCTCATCACAAGCATAATGAAGAGGAAAGACAAGCTGGGACTGATTTTTTTTTTTGCAAGTCTAACCTGTGATGTATAAAGTTATTACCATATTTGGAGGCACTGCGAGTGCCTTTCTGGAGAGAGGGGGGGTAGGAGAACATTGCCTGTTTTAAGTCCCCTGGGGCTACATATGCATTGGTAAAACAGACTGTGGGCTCTGGACTTGGATGGCAATAATATCCTCAGCTCCTAACATGTTAAAGCCTCTTTAACAGAACTCCTGTTATCCCTAATCACAACTAAATGGAACTCAGGTACACATATGATCTAAAGTTAATGCCCCAAACAGATCGTACAGATTAAAAACACACAAGAAAACACTGAAATTTCTCTCTCCCTTCACTTCCAGCAGAAAATTGTATATATCTTACTTTTTTGTAAGCTGCTTAGAGTCTCTTAAGAATGAATGGGTGGCTATATAATTTTTTTCTAAATAAGTAAAAAAATATCTCGATTGATTGGATCTTGACTATAAGCAAATGAGTTTGGAAGTAAATTCTACTGAAGCCAAAGCCTTCCAGTAAAAGTATGCTACTTCTCATTTCAAAGTGATACTTAGACTAACGTTATTATCAGTTTAAATGTACACTAAATGGCATATATGAAAATGAAATTTCATTGCATACAGTTCTCAAAGGGTCCCCATCTCCAATATACACTACATAAACATGACAAATAAATAAATAAAAATGTGCCTACATCCGTCTATATTATATGACACAGAGAAACAATACAGTCTAGTTCAGATGTTTACATGTACATGGCGAGAAAAATGAATATGGTGAGTTTATCAGACGGATGGCACAGGGAACAAAGCTGTTACAGAATCTGGTAGTCCTG